CGTAATATAGAATAGGAATCTGGATACCAAAAATACATCTTCACCCAACATCTTGATCTTTAGTGAGTTGGGTGACTGGATTTGGAGTTAGTGTACCAGAGTGATCTAGTACACCGATCCAACAATTCCCAGAAGAGTTTTCTCGCCTTTTAACTGTGACTGGCTCAGTACCATTCCTCCCACCCTCACCCTCATTTTGAACTTTCTTCTTCTTTTTCTTTTTTAGAGAAAAGATTTTAACAGATTACCTGATTTTTGACCAAGAGTCAGTCTCTCTCTCTCTCTCTCTCTCTCTCTCTCTCTCTCTCTTTTTAAAGTTTATTTGAGAGAGAGAGTGTGCACAAATGGGGAAGGGAGCAGAGGGAGAAAGAAAGAATGAATCCCAAGCAGGCTCCTTGTAGAGCCTGACATGGTGCTCAAACCCACAAACTGTGAGATCATGGCCTGAGCCAAAACCAAGAGTCGAATGTTTAACTGACTGAGCCACCCAAGTGCCCCAAGCGTCTCTTTTCCAGATGAATCAGAGGCCCCAGCAAGGAGTCAATGGAACGACATAGACAAAGCATGTAACGCAGTGCTTGGCTCATACTGGATTGTGTTAGTTTCTGATTGTAGCTCTAACATTACCATAAGCTTAGTGGCTTAAACCACATAGATTTTTTTTTTTATCTGACAGTTCTAGAGGTCAGAAGGCCTAAAATTAGACTGTCAGCAGGCCTGCGTTCTTTCTGGAAGCTTTATGGGAGAATCGGTTTCCTTGCCCTTTCCAGCCTCTGGAGGCTGCCTGCACTCCTTGGCTTGTGGTCCTTCATGTTCAAAGCTGGCAATGTAGTGTCTTCAAATATCTCCTTCTCTCTGACTTCTGCTTTTGTCCTCATGTCTCCTTCTGTAACTCTGACTCTCCTACATCCCTCTTTTTATAATTTTTTTTTTTTTACTGGGATAAAATGCATACACATGAAATTCACCATTTTAACCATTTTAAAGTGTACAATTCAGTGGTTTTAATATATTCACAATTTGTGCATCCATCACCTCTGTCTTTTATCAGCCACCTCCCTCTTATCAGGACTTGTGTAGTTACATTGTGCCAATCCAGTAATCCAGGATAATCGCCTTGATCTCACAATGCTTACTTAGCTCAGTCACATCTGCAAAGTCCCATTTGCCAAATAAGGTAACATATTCATAGGGCCTGGGCATGGATATAGACATTTTTGTGGGGCTGTTACTCAATTTACTACATGGGGTACTTAGCAAACATTAGTGTCTCTTGACCTTACCTTCTTATTTCAGGAACACTCAGCTCTTGCACTACAACTTTCTAGAGTCTTCATCATCAGAATACTCTGAGCATCAATGAAACATACTGATCTCAAGAAATAGTAAATACCATAGCACCAAAAATAGTTACTGTTTATTGGGCACCTAGTGTACCACTGGGTCACTTAGTAGGGGCTTCAGATGCATTGTCATTTAGCTTTTCACGAGCTGAATTGCTCTTTCTGCCAGTATCCACCCCCATAATACTATAAATATTAAATTTAGCCTCACATCTTGGGGAGATGTGGTGTAATATAGCAGGCAGTGACTTCTGGCTGATTGTCCATGGACTCTACACTTTCTTTGAATTGAGAGATGAAAGGAATTGCTGGTGTTTCTTATAAAATTAAAACATACTGTATGACCCAGCATCTCCATTCCTAGGTATTTACTGCAACGCAATGAAGGTGTATGTCCATGCAAAGACTTCTGCTCAAGTGTTCATAGCAACATTATTCACAGTAGCTCCAAACTGGAAAAACCCAAATGTCCATCAGCTGGTGATTACATAATCTAATTGTGCTATATCCAAATAATGGACTACTCAGCAGTTAAAGAGGAACAAAGTGCTGATAACCATGTGGGTGAATCTCAAAATATTGAACGAGATTAAAGAAACCCAACACAAAAGCTACATAATGAAAGTGTGAATGTCCTTGACACTCCTGAACTATACACTTAAAAATGGTTAAATGGCAAATTGCTTGGTATGTATATTTTACCACAATTTTTTAAAAAACTGCATAATGTGGGGTGCCTGGGTGGCTCAATCCATTAAGCGTCCAACTTCGACTCAGGTTATGATCTCCCCGGTTCGTGGGTTCGAGCCCCCGCGTCTGGCTCTGTGCTGACAGCTCAGAGCCTGGAGCCTGCTTCGGATTCTGTGTCTCCCTCTCTCTACCCCTCCCCTGCTCATGCTCTGTCTCTTTCTGTCTGTCAAAAATAAATAAATGTTTAAAAAAACAGGGGCGCCTGGGTGGTGCAGTCGGTTAAGCGTCCGACTTCAGCCAGGTCACGATCTCACGGTCTGTGAGTTTGAGCCCCGCGTCAGGCTCTGGGCTGATGGCTCAGAGCCTGGAGCCTGTTTCTGATTCTGTGTCTCCCTCTCTCTCTGCCCCTCCCCCATTCATGCTCTGTCTCTCTCTGTCCCAAAAAAATAAATAAATGTTGAAAAAAAAATTAAAAAAAAAAATAAAAAAACTGCATAATGTATGATTATGTTCATATGAAATTCTAGAAAAGGCAAAACTATTGTGGCAGAAAGCATATCTAGTTGATGTCAGGGATCAGGATTCAGGAGGGATAGACTGTCAAAGGGCATGAGGGAACGTTTTGGGGTTCTGTAGAAGTGTTCTATATCTTGATTGTGATGATGGTTACACAATTGTACACATTTGCCAAAATTTGTTGAATTTTATTGTTTGTAAATTATAGTTCAGTAAAGCTGATTAAAAAAGAAAAAAATGCTAGGAATTTGATGGAGCTAAAAAAAATTCTGTCTACTAGTAAATTGTTAGGGGATTTTTCTTTGCTGTTTTATAAAAACCTTGTGTACCAGATCATAAGTAATAAGATAGAGGGGAATGCCTTGCCTTTTCATCCTTCATTGGGTTACATGAAAATGTTTAGTAACTGTAAACAGCATGGGATGCATTTAGGATCCACAAAATTACTTGCGAGTTGCCTTAGTGAGAATGTTACAGCAATCAGTATTCCCAGAGGTAAAGAAGAAGGGAGATTGTGTGCTGTTTCCTAGAAGTGGTCCCTTTTGGATTGAGTTTTGCCTACGTGCCACCCAGAGGGGGAGATTCAGTTGCAATATTTTGTTGCACCTTTGATGTCAACTTCATTTTGGCTTAAGAGTTTTTGAATAACATGAGGTTGGTGAAAAAATTTTTGAATAACATTAAGGTTGGTGAAAACATCTGTCTTCTGTCATTGACCTCCCCAGTTCTGTTCCAATTCTGTACTTTTTTTTCCTTAGACGTTATTCTTATTAATCTCCCTGGGGTATTTGACCTTAATACCATTCCCTCTTTCTCAAAAGCTTCTTTCTCGTTTGGTCTCTTGGAATACTACACTCTAGTGATTTTTCTCCCTACTGCAGAAGTGATTTCGTGATCTCTTTGGCTGGTGTATTTTTGTTCTTAGGTCCCCTGTGGGAATGCAGCCCATTGCCCCATTTTTCTCCAGGTTTGCCCCTGGGGATATCTTCTCCTTTCCTATGATTCATCTCTTCTGGCACATCTCAAAGTTTTTGTCCCAAGTTCTCCATTGACTTTGTCTTTTATTTCCGGCTACCTCAAGGGTATTTTCAACATCCTTATTTCTTACCATTGCCCAAACCAAATGTATTCCCTTATCTCCCGTGTCTTCGCTCATTCTGGGCTTTTCCATGTCTTTGAGACACTGCCATTCTCTCCCCCTCAGGTTTAAAACCTGAAGCTCTGCTAGTTTCTTTTTCCTCCGTCTCCTATTCAGTTCAGATCTTTTCTGTTTCCTCTGGGCTCTCTCCCTTCTTCTCGGTCTTTTTGATACGACTTTAATCTGCATCTTTTTGTCAGAGGCACATGGCAACCCCATATTCTTGAGTGAAAGCTGCTGGTCAGGATGACGAAGAAGGTTTCACAATTTGGGGAGCCACCGTGTCACCAAATCCATGTGTCAGAACCCTGTTACAATGACTGAATCACTAGGTTGGCTTTGCTCTTACAGCACATCTCTTGGAATGCTTTGGAAAAGCTTATCGTTTCCTTTTGTGTGTACAGTGTCCCCTTTGCTGCCACGTTCCCTGATTTTTTTTAATTATAGACAGCTTTTCCTTCTCTCATGAGTATATGACCCTGCTTCCCCTGTACCCCCCAGAGTCCTGGTTTTGTAATTTTATGATACCTTTGGCATCATAAACTTATGGTTTGCTGCCTTTGTGTTCTCTCTGAGCAGTTCCTTATTACTCTTCACACAACACTACCTTAATCTTCCAGCTGGAAACCAAAGCTGAAGCACCTGCTATTGCAGATTTTCATGTACTTTGTTCCTACTAATCACCAACTATGTGGATCTGTTTTTACCCCTTTTGTGTTTTCCTCTCTCATTTTACTTGGGAGGTAATAAGATTTTCTTTTTCTTCCATAAATTCTCTCCCAATAACCTGCATTCTTTGATAGCATTTGTAGAAGTTACTCTGTAGGCTTGGTTGCAGAGTTGAAGGAATGTGGGAAAACTTTGTTAATAAGAGGAGACCCATGAAATGCAGGTTAAATTCTCTTGCACTTGTCTTCAAAGGGGAGGGTTGGCCACAGATTTCTTAGAGTTTATGTCCTCGGAAATAAGAGAGTCATACTTACTTTTTATTTTCCATTTATTTTGGTGGTGGAAGATGTGCTTCAGAGGTGAAAAGTTGATTAATTATTTCAGCGAGCAGGGTATTTTAAGGTGTTTCATTTCAGTTATTTTTTTCATCAGAGAAATTTACTAAACTTGTTCTGGGGTTTTAAAATAAAGGCTTTATGTTTCTTTGAAATAAAAATGCAAAGGGCATTCTCAGGCCATTGGAAAAATTGAAGTTGTTATCAGATTTGGAATGAAGTAGCCAGAGGCCTGGAACAACTTCCGTTTTTGCATCGCAATGTGATACTGTGTTTATTTACTTTCCCTTTTATCTTTGGGTATTCTAGAGGGGTGTTTGATGCTTCCCTCAAAATGGCTGGCTTCTACGGATTGTACACTTGGCTGACTCATACTATATTTGGCATCAATATTGTCTTCATACCATCAGGTAACGATAGTACCCTAACTTCCCCTGTCCTCTATTTAAGGAAAATGAAGCCATTTTACGTACGTTGGGAAATGTCATCTTCCTCAAATTTAAAATACTAAATTTTGAGATGTAATCTAGTCTAGATTAGGAGCAGAAGTATGATTTGTAATGTTTATTTATGCTGTATCTCCAGTAGCTAGAATGATACCCAGCACTTAGAAAGCACTGCATAAGGGGCACCTGGGTGGCTCAGTTGATTAAGCCTCCGACTTCAGCTCAGGTCATGATCTCACAGTCTGTCTTGAGTTCAAGCCCTGCATCAGGCTCTGTACTGATAGCTGGGAGCCTGGAGCCTGCTTCAGATTCTGTGTCTCCCTCTCTGTCTGCCCCTCCCCTGCTTATGCTCTTTGTTCCAAAAATAAATAAAACATTAAAAAACAGAAAGAAAGCACTGCATAAGTACTTGATAAATGAGTGAATGTCCTAGCACTTAGCACAGCACACAGTACTCAGTAAATACTTGGTACTCAGTAATAATTGGCACTCAGTAAATGTTTGAATTGAACTGATAGGGAGCAATGAGTTGGTCGAATAGCTCTGTTCCATGAAGGATACTGTCCCAGGGGCAAGACAAATGCCTCTGAGGGCACATAAGCTGTCTCCATACCTCTTAGGATCTATTCTGATAAGGCCCTCATTCCATAAGCACCTTGATGGTTCAATAACCATCTTTTACTTTTTCCTCTGCATTATTTCTGCTCCTCTCCTTCCACTTTTCCTTTACTTCTGTGGCTGCTTGTCTACCCTCTACCATTTCCCCCTTTTCTCCACACACTCTTCTTTACATCCCCAAGTTCATTCATGTTCTTTCCTACTTCAGTCTTGGCTAAGCCACTCTTTGACATGCAAGCAGCCTGACAACACATGGAGGTCATTGTTTTATAATGACCTTGTGAGGCAGGCAGGGTAGGTAGTGTTCCTGTTGTATAGGTGAGAAACCAAAAGTTTTCCAAGGTCACATACCTGGTTAGTGGTAGGACCAGAACTAGAATCCATATCTGCCTGACTTTTCCTCTGGAGGGGAACCAGATGAGAGAGAGTGGGCATACAGCTCTGGAAGGGGGTGAACTTGAAGTAACCTCCTTCAGGGGCACCTGGGTGGCTCAGTCGGTTAAGCGTCCGACTTCAGCTCAGGTCACGATCTCACAGTCCGTGAGTTCGAGCCCCGCGTCGGGCTCTGGGCTGATGGCTCAGAGCCTGGAGCCTGCTTCCGATTCTGTGTCTCTCTCTCTCTCTCTCTGCCCCTCCCCCGTTCATGCTCTGTCTCTCTCTGTCTCAAAAATAAATAAACGTTTAAAAAAAAAAAAAAAAGAAATGAAGTAACCTCCTTCAACTAGCAGGGCTTTTGTTCTTGTTTTTGTTTAGATTACATTTCATTTTTATTAGAAGCAAGGTGAAGATTATACATTCCTCTCTGAGGTTTAGAAACTAATTTTTAATTTGCCTTTGGATCCCGTACAAATTTGGACCAATGCTTTACAGTTACATTATAGGACTGTATATGAACTAACCATTGATTCAGAATAACAACTGCAGGGGGCACCTGGGTGGCTCGGTCGGTTCAACATCTGACTCTTGATTTCAGCTCAGCTTAAGATCTCATGGTCATGAACTTGAGCCCCAACTTCGTGAAATCAAGCCTCACGTGGGGCTCCATGCTAGGCATGGAGCCTGTGTAAGATTCTGTGTCTCCTGCCCTCTCTGTCCCTTTGCCCCTACCCTGCTCATGCATGTGCTCTTTCTCTTTCTCTCTCTCTCTCTCTCTCGGAGGAAAAAAAGAGACAACAACAACTGCAGGATACTAGAATTTTGTTGCTTAAGAAGAAACCCAGGATGTAGACACACACACTTTAGAAAGATTTTCAGCATCAGGTTTTAAGATATAAGGTATCAGACCTCCGTTTAACTAGCAGATTCAGTTACACAGGGCATTATCATGGGCTAAAATTTGAGTTTGTATTTATTTCCCTTGTTTTGGTGTAAACTTTTAAGTAGGAGGAACCAGTTGTGAGGTTCCGATGTCCTGTCACTCTTTTAATGTCATGTTCAGTTGCTTTTCTTTCAATTTCTTATTAGCGTTAGCAGCAATCCTCGGAGCGGTGCCATTTCTGGGGACATACTGGGCGGCAATACCTGCCGTTCTAGACCTGTGGCTCACACAAGGCTTAGGGTGCAAAGCCATCTTACTGTTGGTTTTTCATCTCTTGCCAACATACTTTGTAGACACTGCCATCTACTCTGATATATCAGGGTAAGTATCCATAGAACTTCTCAAGTGGTTGGTGAATCCTATCCAGGGATTTATGTGACCTTTTTTTTAAGGAGAGTTGTTTGTTTTGTTTTGTTTTGTTTTTCTTTTGGGGATGGGAGAAGGGACACGTGGTAGGATTTTTCTGTGAAGTAGTCTTTTGTGATCCCACTGATAGAATCAAAATTTAATGTAATATAATTAATACCATTTTCAAGGTATGCTATTTTCTTATTACATAAGTATTTAAAATGTATGAGACCCTGGGTTAACACAAAATTATGTATAATCTTCTGTTTTAGTGACATTAATCTAGGAAAGAAATATTACTAGATGTACATAAATAGCTGTAAGTACAATAATGAATTAGTGGTTATTTTCAGAACTACTTTGCTCTTGGAGAAAAACATTATTAAATTGTATATCTGAGGATCCATGTGCAACCAAATCTCATCAAGTTAATGTCTGATAAGCAGAGTTCTCTTTACTTAAGATATTATAGTATGGTTCTATGATGAATACGGGTTAAATTTAAGACAGAATCCAAACACTGACCGTATAATAAATAAATACCTGTTTTTATAGATTTTGGTACCTCTTTTCAAAATTGCACTAAGTAAACCAAGCCAATTCTCATTTAGTCATGTATCCATATTCTCATTGCTTGTTAGAATCTAGGATGTGACCGCATGCTGAACTCTAATCAGCTACCCCAGTTCAGAATATGCGTACTGAAACTATCATAATAGGTAATATAGTAAATTTTCTGCAAGTAAAACTTACTGTTGCAGTAAGTGTTCATGGAAAGAGTGACCTTCAGTTAATTTGAAATTATATAGGGACAAATTGCTACCTTGTTTTCTCTCTAGTAAGTGAAGGCAGAAACAAATGGTATATAACTGAAGGCCTAGACTTCCCAAGCAAAAGGAAATCAGCAACTGCATATGCCAGCCTTAGTGGCACTTTTATGTCTAAACCTTGAAAGAGAAAATGAAAGACCAAAGGAGGACATCAGAGTATGGTTAACTAGTAGTTAACAGTTGAAATTTAAACAGTAAGAGTAGTTATGTGATTTATGGTTAAATGATTTCATTTCTCTAAACTTTGCTATAAATTTTTTATTGAGGTTTCTAGCTAGAATTTAAAATTTATGTGATTTTATCTTAATAATACCTTATTTAACCAGCATCATCAGGAAATAAAGATTTTGTGTAAATTGCTTTAGTTTTTAAATAAAGGAAGACTTAATTTGAAAGCTTCCACACTTTTTTCTTTTTTAACTGTTAAGCATTTATTTTTTAAATGTTTTATTTTATTTTTGAGACAGGGAGAGACAGAGCATGAACAGGGGAGGGTCAGAGAGAGGGAGACACAGAATCTGAAACAGGCTCCAGGCTCTGAACTGTCAGCACAGAGCCTGACGCGGGGCTTGAACCCACGGACCGCGAGATCATGACCTGAGCCAAAGTCGGCCGCTCAACTGACTGAGCCACCCAGGCACCCCTAACTGTTAGTATTTTTGAGAGAAAAAGTTTTTGATGTATTATTTAGGGGAAAAGCTTACTTATGTAGCATATGTGGAATATTGCCCTAAAATTTTCCCCCCAATTTTTTTTGAATGAGGAAGATAGTTTATGAATATACTGTATTGGTTTTCTGAAGACTAGCTCACCTTAAATGTTATTTATTGAATTGTAACATAATTCAGAACAGAACATTATTCCAGAGTGTCAGCTATTTGCCCCTCAGTAAATTGTTCAAGTCATCTGTGTTTGAAAACTAGAAATAGAACATACCTTATTTCCAAGTCCTTCTTATGTCCGTGGTCATTTGTTACTGTTACCAGTATGCCGTGCTGCTGTGATCTGCCTTACTGTATACCACTTATGTAAGTGATACTGTGATAAGCTGGAAGGCAATTAGGACTCTCCTGTGAAATAGAATCTTGGGCTTTGTGACGGATAGTTTCCTCATGAGGCCTTGTAGCATTACCTGTGTTTAATAACTATTTTAGAAGGTTGCCCCAAGTCTAACTTATGCATATCATGGGTCCTGTTATATTATCTTATAAAAAGCATAATTATTTGAATTACACACTGCATTGTGCCCACTTAACTATCCTTGATGGAAGTTAACTTAACAAGTGACTTAGCAACGATTCCTCAGTCAACACTCACCTAGGCCAGGCAGCTGTGTGTGTGAGGGGTGTAGGATACCTGTTAACAGTCTGACTTAACTCCCTTCATTGTGGGACCTTATAAAAAGGAAAACGTTGTACTTGTTACCTAGGTAAGAAAATGTTTGCCTCTCATTATTGTTACAACCGATGTTTAGTTACCTGCACTGATGTACTCTAAATAAAACTGGTCATGCAATCAATGGCCTTATATGTTAGGAATGAACATTGTGTTAGAGATGTGTTTCAGATTGACTCCAAAGTTTATGTGTGTAAAAAACCATGAGCTAACCTGTGTGCTCTTTATTCCAGAGGTGGGCATCCTTACTTGACAGGCTTGGCAGTGGCTGGTGGGGCGTACTACTTAGGCCTGGAAGGAGCGATCATTGGGCCCATACTTCTCTGCATACTCGTGGTCGCTTCCAATATCTACAGTGCCATGCTAGTGAGTCCCACGAATTCAGTGCCCACGCCAAACCAGACCCCATGGCCTGCTCAGACTCAGCGGTGAGTTAAAGCGGAATGATCATGAGTCGTGTGTGAAACTGAACTGTCCTGTCTCTATAGTCTTTCACCCCAGTAGTCTGTCAGCATATAGGTATTTCAGTGTGTATGCTCTGCTTAAGATTGTAGAAGACACTAAGGAAAGAGAAACCATTTGTTTGCAGACATTTGGGTTTCAGATACCAGGAAAACTTAAAAACAAAATTGGGACAGAATGGTTCATGTCATGAAAGACCAAAAGTAGATTAAAAAATTAACAAACCCACTTGGACATGGTGTACCCGATTAAAAGAGAGTCAGGAAATAGGACAAACAAATGCAGTGCTGTAATCAATGGTAGGGCTTTGGATTAGTGATGGAGAGAATCTATAAAGAACATTTCTGGAACAATTGGAGAAATCTGAATATGAGCTATATATTAAACAGTATTATTGTATCAGTGTTTAATTTCATAAGGATGATTAATGACACTCTGGTTGTATAGCAGAATATCCTCAAGGGGTGAGATGTCAAGATGTCTGCAACTTATTTTCAAATAGTTCAGCCAACACTAATAGTAACTAGAACAACATGTTAACAATTGGCGAATCTAGATGAAGGATATATGGTTGCTAATTGCACCAGTCTTTTGATTTTTCTTTAGGTTTACACTTTTTCAAATTAAAAAGTCGGAGGGGCCCCCGGATGGCTCAGTCAGTTAAGCATCTGACTCTTGGTTTCAGCTTAGGATCTCATGGTTCGGAAGATTGAACCCCACATTGGGCTGTGTGCTGAAGATGCAAAGCCTACTTGGGATTCTGTCTCTCTGCCCTTCCCCTGCTCTATCTCAAAATAAATAAATAAACATTCACATTAAAAAGTTGGGGGAGAAGTTTTTGAGTGCACCAGTATGGAGTTATAACTTATTTTGCATGTCCAGACAGACATTGAACTCATAATTGCTGTCTTCTGTCACCAACATACCTTAAGATAGATTATAATGTAATGTAAATTGTAATTTAAAAATGTCCCCTGATTGTGTCAAAATTTAAAAAAATTATTTTTAAAGTTTATTTTTATTTGAGAGCACAAGCCGGGGAGGGGCAGAGAGAGGGGGAGAGAGAGAATCTCAAGCAGGCTCCGTACTGTCAGCACAGAGCCCTACACTGGGTCCTCATCTGACAAACTGAGATCACAACCTGAGCCAAGATCAAGAGTTGACAATTAGCCAACTGAGCCACCCAGGCGCAATTAAAAAACAAAACAAAACAAAACAAAACAAAAACCTATTTATTCAGGCATGTCTTACATGAGCTGAGATGCACATCTTAAATATACAACTTGATGGGATGATTGTTTTCATATACGTATACCCATGTAAGCATGGGTATTAAGATATAGAGTATTAAGATACAGAGTATTTACTCCAAAAGCCTTCCCCATACACCCTCTCAGTCAGACCCCTTCTCTGCTTATAATCTGACCACTGTCACCTTAGATTGGCTTTGCCTGTTTTTGAACTTCACGTAAAAGGAGTCATGTCCTAAGTACTTGGGAGTCAGGCATCTTTTGCTCACCATTGTGTCTATGGCATCCACCCACATTGTTGCACGTCAAGGTCATTCTTTATTATTGCCACCTGGTATTCCAGTATACAAATAGACCACAATTTATTCATTGCAGTATTGATGGACATTTGCGTAGCTTCCAGTTTCTATTCTGAACCTGTCTTGTAGTACGTGTGTCCTGATAGACATGTGTACTTCATTTGTGTATATACCAAGAAGAGGAAGGGCGAAGTGCACAGCTGGTTTAACGTTAGTGAATACTTGTTAAGCAGTTTTTCTCTGTGTATGTACCAGAAATCACATGTTAACAACCGAAAGGTAAGGTAAACTTTTAACAGTGCAAAAAAGTAAGAAGTCTCAGAATATAGGATTTTAACTTTTCAGAGACTACACTACAATGTCCTTCTTATTCTCAACTGGAAAATATTTTTTTCTTGCCATTAGGTGTTCTAGTGTAATCGAGGAGTCATTAACAAGTTGATTTTGAAAAAATATTTACTGAAACTATTTATCTTTTTATTTAAAATTCTTTAGAGACATGGTTCTGCTCATTTTGTGTTGTGTTGTATGTTGTGAAGAAGACGTGGTCCTTTAACTCAGAACAGGTAGAATATAGTTGCTGAATTAGACCCAGCTGGTTAGAGGGCCATTTTAGCTAATGCAAGGCACCTACTTGATGGCAGGGAAAAAATCCATTTCCTTAAAAAGAATAAAAGGAGAGGCACTTACGCAGTTGTAACAAAAGCCATTTTGCAGGTGGTGACACTATGATACCCATTTCTGCCTTTGCCTCTTACAGGCAAGTATGTGGATACCTGAGATACCAGTGGACAGTTGCTTGAAAGCAATAAAGAGCACATGATAACTGGAACCCTACTCCTTGGGTGTCCATGCAAAAAACAGAGAAAACATTGGTTGATCAATATTTTGCTGTTATTTTATTTATTTATGTTTTTAAACTTGAGTAATTAAGTATATACAGTGTATACAGTGTAGTCTGGCTTTGGGAGTAGATTCCTGTGATTCATCACTTATATACAACACCTAGCGCTCATCCCAATGAGTGCCCTCCTCAATGCCCATCACCCATTTTCCCCACCCCCCCACCCTTAGTTCTCTGTATGTAAGAGTCTTACAGTTTGCCTCCTCTCTGTTTATAACTTACTTTTCTTTCCCTTCCCCTATGGTCTTCTGTTAAATTTGTCAAATTCCACATATGAGTGAAAACATAGGATGTATGTCTTTCTCTGACTGACTTATTTCACTTAGCATAATACCCTCCAGTGAATTCCAGTGAATTTTCCAGCGAAAATTCTTTTTCATTGCTGCGTAGTATTCCATTGTGTGTACGCGTCTGTGTGCATGTGCATGCACACACATACATACACACTGCATCTTTAAAAAAATTTTTTTTTACTGTTTATTTTTGAGAGACAAAGTGTCACATCTTTTTAAAACAATTTTTTTTAATTTTTTTTTTTTTTTTTTTTTTTTGAGAGACAAAGCGTGAGTGGGAGAGGGGCAGAGAGAGAGGGAGACACAGAATCCAAAGTAGGCTCCAGGCTCTGAGCTGTCAGCACAGAACCCGATGTGGTACTCAAACCCATGAACCATGAGATCATGACCTGAGCCGAAGTCGGACGCTCAACTGACTGAGCCACCCAGGTGCCCCCACATCTTCTTTATTCATTCACCAGTTGATGGACATTTGGGTTTTGCTGTTATTTTAGAAAAACTTACAGTGATCCAAAGTTAGTAAAGCAGGAGTTGGTTCTTAAGGTGAAACAAAAGAAACTAATATAAATTCTTCCAGAGACAAATGACCTCTTTCCCCTTCTCCCTTTTGAAGGCAGAATGTTGTCACTTAGGTGAAGTGGGGGTTGAAAAATACAGCGTGAGGGCTTTTATAGTCTTCATCTTTTTTTTTTTCCCTTAGAAATTATGTATACGTGTAGCTGAAAAGGTCAAAAATTTCTACAAAGCTTGTTGCGAAAAATATCCTTTGCCTTTTCCCTTTCCCTTCTTCTCTGAGAAGAACCACTTTTTGACTTTTTTGATTTGATTTTTTTCTCCATGTGTTGAAGTAGAATCTTTATTTCTTGATTTTTTTTCATGAATAGGCATTTTCTTTTCACTTCCCAGTTGGAAGGTGAAAAATTAGCTCTTTTACCACCACCCTCCCACTATTGAACCATGATATTGGTTCAATCAGTATTTGGCCCTTAAATTATTATGACCGTAAATTATATTCCTGTTTGAACCTTCTTGTATGTTCTGTATTTCCTTACTTTATACAACCTTTTGCTTTTCTTTGCGTTATAAAGGTCCTGTTTTTTGTTGACTTTGTTTTCTGAGTACTCCTAACTAGCCTCAAGCTATGTGCTGGCTGTTTGCATCTCCTCGCTCAGGATATTAGTTGCAATGAGTATGCTACAAGCTTTATCTTCCTGGTAAAGTCTCTGCTGGAGCCTCCTCATCTGCTCCAGTGGATGCCGGCTGCCCTTTCGCCTACTCTTCAGCTATCAGCTGTCATTCCCTCAGTTCTCCCCTGTGTTGGAATGCTTACTTCCTGTATAATTTCCCATATCATTTTCTTTCCTGATTTATTTCCTTTTTGTTGGAGCACAGCCTCCTATAGATTTTTGGGAAAGAATGCCTAGGAAATGAGTTTTGGTGATGATATAGGACTGGAAAGTTTTCTCTTGAGGCTGTACTTAATAGCTTGCCTCGGTTTAGAATTTTATGTTTGAAAATTTTTACCTTTAGACTTTCTGTTTATTTCTTCATTGTGCTCTGGCTTCCATGGTTGTTAAAAGTCTGAAGCCATTCTGATTCCTGGTTCTTTGTAATTTATTTGAAAGCCGATAGGATGCTCTTATTTTATTTTACTTTTTTTTGTTGGTGTTCTGATTGGTGCTGGATGAGACCTTTAAAATTGGAAACTTATGTTCTGTAGTCCTAAGGTTTTTCTTGAATTATTTCATCTGTGATTTCCTTCTCGCCCTTTCAGAAACTTATTTTGATGTTGAGTCTTACTCACTGGTCATCTCATTTTCTTATCTCTGCTGTTTTTCCATTTCTGATTCTTTGCTTCCATTTTCTGGGTGATTTCTTCAACTTTATCTTCCAATCCCTTCATAGAGATTTCCATTCTTATCACATTTTTTTTTCAGTCTGGTTTATTGAGGTGTTATTTACATAGGTAAAATCTACCTTTTTAGGGTTCAGGTATTTATTAGTGTGTGTGTGTGTGTGTGTGTGTGTGTGTGTGAGAGAGAGAGAGAGAGAGAGAGAGAGAGAGAGAGATGCATAATAAATTACCACTAAGTTAGTGGCTTAAAACAACATACATTTATTACATTAAAGTTTTCATGGGTCGGGAGTCCGGGCACAGGGGGGCGGAAGTGTCTGCTTAGGCTCTGACAGGGCTGCAGTCAAGGTGTCAGTGGAGCTGGG